TGGATTCAGACTCGACATTGGGACCGAGACATTGGACGGGGGATTATTTGGGACCTATATCGAAGACTTGGTGTTGACGACATTCCCATCTTCCCCCTCTTCTTCGTTTTATCCCCCTCCTCCTGGTCTATGTATGTTTGGGACTGGCGCATTCTTTCTGTGTGAGCGCCAGGTCCGTTCACACCTTACGATGATGATGATGTGTGTTTGGTCTGCATTGCGACATTGATTTGGTTGATCATTGGTATTTTGGCCTTCCACTGCGCTATCCTGTACTATGTGAGAGAGGTCTGTTCTTGTTCTGGTCTGTACCATTACAGTATGCGACACCTGGCCTCTACTGCAACGGCCACTTCCTTTTTTTGTTTGTTTTTCCAAGGCAATGGCCACTTCTCCTCGGGACACCTGTCATAATTGGAACGATACAGAGAAGATCAAATGGCCCCTGCACAAGGACGACATGCGCGGTGCAGCGCATCACGATGCGCTGCATGGATGGTTATCACTGTCATCAGGTCGATGATCGTAACATTTTTCGAGAATGTTATTGCTTCAAAAATGATTTTTGTTTTGTATTTTTGTTTTGATTAAAAAAAGTCATTACAGAAGTATTAATGACTCAATTACCCAGAAATCCAAAAAAACGATTTTATTACTGTTTCTTGGAATATTACCATAGTTGCGGCGCACGTCGGTGCGCCGGGTTGCGCACGTCGCGCCGCTCACCGCACAGCGCACCGAAGCGCAGCACACTTGAAAAATTAGGTCCAAAAAAAAAAAAAAAAAAAGTAGGGGTTTTCTAATTTCTTAGGGCCCCCAACTCGGCAAAAATGTTAAACTCACCGCGCAAGTTCACAAACCGGCCACGCCCACGGCCCGAACTTTTCTTTTGGGTAAGGGCTGCCGAAAATTCGATTTGCGCAGGCCCTTCCCCAAAACGTTTCGAATGGCGAGGCACAAAATAGGGCTCATTCCAACTTTCGTTTTAGGCGGGGTATGAGAGCTGTCCTTCCCGCTGCCTTCTGCAAATCCCACACAGTAGTGGGGTCAGTTCGCAAGAAGGGTTAGTCGGGTAATAACGACATGCCCCGCGAAGCTTCGCAGAAGCCGCAAATTGGATGTTCTATTGCCAGCCGACCACCAATATATGCTGAAGATTGGCATTCAGGTACGCATGTCGGCAGTTATGGGTTAGGATGAAGATGCCCGTGGCTCTCTCGTTTTTTTGTTTTTGTTTTCTTACGAATACGTCCAGTGGGGCCCGCTCCACTACTCACCAAATGCACAAAAGACATAGCATATGGAGGTGTATGGTTCCATGTTTCAGCAGAAGATTCATTCTTTTTTTTTTTCTTTAAAAAAAAAAAAAAAAAAAAACAGGCCTTATGGTCCTGGCTCCTTCTATTCTGGGGAGCGTCAGTCCGGTTCCTATTCCCCCGGCAAGTCATAATTTTTTTTTTTACATCAAATGAGAATTCACACACGCTTCCTTCCGTTTGGCTGAAGGATCCCTGAACAGCATTGATTACTCCATATTCGTGGAGGATTGACTGTCAGCTTGCCCTGACCCTCTCTCTTCTCTCAGCTCTGGTGTTCGAGTCTGCCAGATGGTGACTATCATTCTGGAGCGAATCCGTCAAGTGATCTTTATTGCCTAAACCCTACCCATTCAGACTTCCTGTACCTAGATTGAGACGCCTTTCGACCTTAAACCCTAAACCCTCTTTTCTGTATGCACTGTTGATCGTTGTACCTCCATAGTAGGAAGTTAGCTGACCGCTTGCCCAACCTTCCTCTCTCCTTTCAGACCTGGTATCCGGGTCTGCCAGATGTAACCGTATTACCTAGAGAGAGACCCTCCCTTCACCTTTGTTACCTTATTTACTCGTCCTCAGACTTTTTCCCCCTCTTTTCAAACCGTCTTTTCGTATCCTTCGGGCCGTGGCACTCCGTACTGCCTTCTTATTCCATCACCTTATCTGACCTATTTCCCCCCTGTGCCTCATTTAGTCAACTTCCTTGGGACTCTTGAAGCAGCAGAAGATTCATTCTGCTCTCTCGTTTTTTTGTTTTTGTTTTCTTACGAATACGTCCAGTGGGGCCTGCTCCACTACTCACCAAACGCACAAAAGACATAGCATATGGCGGTGTATGGTTCCATGTTTCAGCAGAAGATTCATTCTACTAATATTATATACATTTGGTGAGTGGTGGAGGGAGGCCCTGAGAATCACGTGGAGACACGAACAGGGTCTAGCTGAATTGGTGACCCATAACTGCCGAGCTACAGCCCTGAACTCGAATCCACCGCATATATTGGTGGTCTCCCCACATCTCTCCCACACGTGACGAGGCCATCCTTCTCATTTAAGCTGGCCCTTAATGGCTCCACATGTATTGTAGGAGCCATTCGAGGTACCTGCAGGGGGCCTCGAATTGACGAGAAGGGGACCCTTTGTTGTCTCTCTCTTATCTCTTTCTTTCTTTCTTTCTTTCTTTCTTTCTCTCTCTCTCTCTCTCTCTCTCTCTCTCTCTCTCTCTCT